TTTTAAGATTTTATTTATTTGAGAGAGAGAGAATGAGAGACAGAGAGCATGAGAGAAAGGAGGGTCAGAGGGAGAAGCAGACTCCTTGCTGAGCAGGGAGCCCAATGTGGGACTCGATCCCGGGACTCCAGGATCATGACCTGAGCCGAAGGCAGTCGCTTAACCAACTGAGCCACCCAGGCGCCCCAGCTCTTCACTTTTCATAAAGAAACATACTCATCCCATTTTTGTTTTCCTATTTTAATTAAATATTCTACTATAAGAAAACTAACAGTGAAGAAATGATGACAAATAGAGACACTTGGCTTTAGAGTCTAGGAGACAACAGGATATGTGGGGATTATGGTAAATTAAAAGCCTAGGCCATACCCAAGCCTGACCCTTTGGGTCTAGCAAGTTTTATCATGTGAGAATAAGGTCCCAGTGTTGCCAGAATTTTAGATTTTTGAAGACAAGCTCCAAGTATGGATTTTTATGTGAAATCATTCAACTTTAAAATTCTGGCTCGGAGGGCACCTGGGTGGCTCAGTCAGTTAAGCATCTGCCTTCGGCTCAGGTCATGATCCTGGAATCCTGGGATTGAGTCCCGCATTGGGCTCCCTGCTCAGTGGGGAGTCTGCTTCTCCCTCTGCCCTTCACCCTGCTTGTGCTCTCTCTCTCTCAAATAAATAAAAAAAAAAATTCTGGCTCAGAGTGAAAAACACCACCACTGTGGTCCAAACAAAACATATCTGCTACTTAGAAAAAAAAAAAAATATATCTGCTACTTTGAGTCCCCTAGTTTGGAGCATTAAATTCCTATTTGTCTGCCTTGTTTCCTGGTATCTTATCTTCCTTACAGTAACAATAATCCCCAGATTTGGGCAGCATTTTATTCTCTTCAATATGCTTTCATGTCCATTTGATCCTCTCGACTGTGAGAGGTAGAAAGAAGATGAGGAAGCAGGCTCAGGCAAGCTAAGTAACTTGTCCAACATCACATGATTAGTAAAAGCCTAAGCCCAGGTCTCCTTACTCTGAGACCAGCACAAATCCCTGGCCCTTTTACTCTTTCCTTGTCCCTTACATGTGCTTTTGTCTCAGTCAGGTCCTCATCTAGAAGGACGGTCTTCTTTCTTTCTGCCAATCTAAATTCATCATCTTTTAAGACCCAGCTCAAGCTCTACTGTATACATAAAACCTTTCTAACTAGGGCAAGTCTCAAAGTATTCTTTCTTCTGAACTTCAGTTGTTGTTATGGTCAGTAACTTACAAATTGGTGCTTATCAACAGCCTTGAATCATCAAATTATTTCACATCATTTCACATAGCTCATATCCCCAATGATATTCTAAGCTCTTTGATGGTGTGGACATGTTATTCTTTTTTGTTCCACATAGCTCCCAGCACTCTGTTGGGACATAAAAATGACTGCTTAATGTTTGCCATCTTAGACAGTCTTTTGAGTAAGAGTTATACTTACCAGCCTGATGTTATCTTCTGGGCGGAGTAATATGAACATTGCTTGGAGATGCTGTTGGAGATCACCTAGTGAAATTTATGAAACAAAAAATAATTATTCTCCACTGTAATGTCAATAGAGAGGATTCCTTCTACCTTAATAACCTATATAAAAAAAAGTCCTGGGTCACTGAAGGACTATAATTAGACATAGAAATTAAGTGTCTTAATATAATTATTATTAACTTTAAGTGGAAAGACAGAATGGTAGACGGCATCTCTATACATTCACTTTTAGCCTATACTACATTAAAATTTCCTTTATGTTTGTCCAATGGGAGGTGCACTTGAAAGCAATCTCAGTTTTGTACTATCGTGGATGTTGATGAAAGCAATGGCGAGATCTGTTGGGCTGTGCTTTAAGGCCCACTGAAGGTAGCAAGGAGGGAATCCTGAAAATGGGGTGTGTGATGAATGGGTTTAGAATTACCTCTAACATTACAAAAAACTAACTATTTTGCCATTCTTTTTTCTGTAAATCTTTAGTTGCACTTAACCAAAGAAGATTTTTAGATTCCCCTTAGAATAATGTCAATGGTTTAAAATGATTTCCATATTAGTGGCTGATATTCAAGTAAGAGTACTCATTAAATATAGTGGGTCCCAAGAAATAAATATTCCACTGAACCTAATGTTAGGTCCTTTAACATGGCCAACCATTATTTGAATACACATTTGTTTCTACACATTCTCCAAAACTAAGTTGAATTTTTTTGTATTAAAGTATTACAGATTTCCTCATACTCCTTATTCTATACTAGAAAACATGGAACTTCGGCTAGTAGGAGATAATTCGATAACATACTGTTATAAATGATAACAATCGGAGAACAAAAAACTTCATTCATGCCCAACCAGGTCCAGCTCTTTTTTAAGAGTCTAAAGTGACTGACATAGCCGCCTGATCACAGATGCCAGTGGATGCCTGTTCTCACATTCGTCTTGCAATCTACATACAAAATCTTCCTCCAGGTAACTTCAACTGTTAACAGTGAGATGAAATACTGATATGTGCAAGAAGTGGTGAGGGGTAGCAAGAAAGAAAAGTAGGTTAGCAAACAGATATTCGTTTAAAAGGTCAGCAAGTCTGAAAGCCTCCCCTTTTTTTCCCGTTTCCTTCTCTTAAAGAATGGTTTTCTTGCCGCCCACCCCCCCACCTCCATTTCAATGCTGGCTTCTGACCAATTCCATTACTGCAGAATCTTTCAACTTTCAAAATTAAAAAGGAAAACCATCATGTTTGGCCAGGTCTGTTCTAGCACATTTCAAACCCAGAGACACAATCTAAGTCTCATGTGTAAGAACCAGTATGGGCTCATAGGTATAAAACCAAGAGAAATGAAAACATATGTCCACACAAGAACTTACACATAAAGATTCACAGCAGCATTATTTGTAAGAGTTAAAAATTAGAAACAACTCAAGTGTGAATTCCGGTGAATGGAAAAATGAAATGTGGTATATCTATACACTAGAATATTATTTGGTCATAAAAAGGAATGAAGTACTGACACATACTATAATGTATTATGCTAAATGAAAGGAGCCTGTCTCAAAAGATCATTTATATAATTCCACTTATATGGAACACCCAGAATGGGCAAATCTATAGACAGAGAAATAGATTAGTGGTTGTTTAGGATTGGCAGGGAGGGTGGAGGATATAGGGAATGACTGCTAATGGGTAACTGAGTTTCTTCTGTGGGGTGATGAAAATGTTCTAAAATTACAGTGATGGTAGTACAACTCTATATATACTAAAAAACAACAACAACAACACTGAATGTATACTTTATTTTTATTTTTTTTAAAGATTTTATTTATTTATTCGACAGAGAGAGACACAGCAAGAGAGTGAACACAAGCAGGGGGAGTGGGAGAGGGAGAAGCAGGCTTCCCGCAGAGCAGGGAGCCCGATGTGGGGCTCGATCCCAGGACGCTGGGATCATGACCTAAGCCGAAGGCAGACGCTTAACGACTGAGCCACCCAGGCACCCCTGAATGTATACTTTAAACGGGTAGATTAGGCGAATTACATGGTATGTGAATTATATCTCACTAGAACTGTTAAAAAAAAAAAAAAAAAAGAACCAGTGTGGGGAGACAAAGTGTTAGCTATAAACAATGAAGAGTGACTTAAGTTACATGTTATAATTGAGTTAAGCAGCTGAGGCTTTTTAAAAATTAAGATTCCTTCTGTTCTATCAGTACAGATGACCCAAGGGAAGGATTTTTAGGATGGAGAACTTGTAGAGGACAACCATTTCTGGGTAAATAGTGGCCTAAGTCCCTACTCCAAGTGCTTTGGCCCAAAGATCCAGCTGGCTTCTTGAAAGGTCAGGCAAAAGTCAAGAAGCCCCATCCCTACTGTAAGGCTTCTTATGTGAGCTGGGTATGTGGAAACTCAGGTTTGTTAGTGGTGAAAAGTACTGTCGGTAAGCAAACTGGGTATTTGCTACTGGAAAACCTTAATTGATAAGTCACATAAGAATTCATTAGAGTATCTTTGTACCTTATTATTTTTCCAACACAAATTTATTGAACACTTACTACATACATAATGCATTCTGCTAAGTGCCAGAAAAATAGTGAAAGAAAAGTGATTATAGCACAGTACAATGCTTTCTTTCACTATTACAAGACTGTTGGAGAAACAGGGATGAGGTTGTCAGCCTTTTAGAACAAAACAAAAGAAACCAAGAAAGGAATGGTGTATGTGGAACTTTACCTGCATGCTTGTTGCGTCTGTGGCTAATTCTTGGTGCAGATGAGCCATTTCCCCGTGGTAGAAAAAGGGCAGCACCTTTGACAGTTAGAAAGCTCTCGCTGATGCTATAAGGGAAAAAGTCAAAAGGAAACAGATTATTTAAGGAAGAAAATCAGAGTATGATGGAGATCCATTTTGGGATTATTCTCTCTCCCATCTTCCAAAGTCCCAATTTCATGGGATGAAGTAAAAATAAAATTAAGAGAGACCCTTTTATTTACACAGTCCTATCTACTCTAGACAGTTTTTCTGAAGCAAAACCTACAATATTCTATATATATATATTACATGGTAGCAGTTAAGAATGAAGGCTCTGGAAACAAAAAAGAGAAAGGCTCTGGAGCCAGATTGCCTGGGTTTGAATCCTGGCTCTGCTACTTCTTACCTGAGTGAATTTTAGGGGGCCTAAATTTCCTTATCAGTAAAACAAAGGTAATAAAATGAAGCTGTTGTGAGGAATCAACAAGTACACAGTTTCTTAGAGGATGCCCTTGTGCAGAGGGATTTTTGAACTCAAAATGCAACTAAGGTATAAAATTCTCAGTTTTACTTTAGAAGTACCCTAGAAATGAAGCTGGCAGACACATCTGAGAACACTTCAGTTGCTTTTAAAATTCCCAAAGCTCTACCATAAATTTAATTCTTAGTATTTTATTTTTTTAATTTATTTTTTAATTCTTAGTGTTTTACTTATTTATTTATTTTAAGATTTTATTTATTTATTCATGAGAGACAGAGAGAGGCAGAGGCAGAGGGAGAAGCAGGCTTCCCACGAAGCAGGGAGCCCGACGCGGGACTCGATCCCAGGACCCCGGGATCATGACCTGAGCCGAAGGCAGACGCTTAACCGACTGAGCCACCCAGGCGTCCCAATTCTTAGTGTTTTAAATGACTGCATTTTAAGGTACACAAACACGGGTTACACAAATATCAATGCTATAGAAACATCTTTGGATAAGCATAAAGGTATAAATGCCTGAACTGGAGGAAACTTGAAATCCTCACCTTAATTCTTTTTTTTTTCTTTTTAAAGAGTTATTTATTTGAGAGAAAGCACACGCGTGAGCGGGGAGAGGGTGGTGGTGGATGAGGGAGGGGATCCTGGTGACCCTGAGATCATGACCTGAGCCGAAATCAAGAGTCGGGCACTCAACCAAGCCACTGAGGTGCCACTCTTATCTTAAATCTTTTTTTTTTTTTTTAAGATTTACGTAATTGAGAAAGAGAGAAAAAGAGAGCGAGAGAACGAGCGCATGAACGTGGTGGGGAGGGGCAGAGGGAGAGAGAGAGAGAAACCCTAAGCAGACTCCACGCTGAGCGCAGAGCCCGACGTGGGGCTGGATCCCATGACCCTGAGATCATGACCCAAGCTGATACCAAGAGTCCGACATTCAACTGACTGTGCCACCCATGGGTCTCTCATCTTAATTTTTAAAAAATATTTTATTTATTTATTTGACAGAGAGAGAGATAGCGAGAGCAGGAACAGTGAAGCAGGGGGAGTGGGAAAGGGAGAAGCAGGCTTCCCGCGGAGCAGGGAGCCCGATGCGGGGCTCGATCCCAGGACCCTGGGATCATGACCTGAGCCGAAGGCAGACACTTAACGACTGAGCCACCCAGGCGCCCCTCTCATCTTAATTCTTAAATGTAGTATTTCTAACTTGTGACATACAGATAGATTGGCAGCCATTTTTGTGTGTTTTAAAATAACTGGGAGCATAGTTAAAATTTTATACATCAAATGACTGCTACTGAATGTTGCAGGTGAGATGTGGTTATTTTCAGTTTACTTGAAATGATTAACTAAAGGGGGGAGGGGGAAGTAAATATCTGAAATTTGGAAAACACTAAACTTTTTGGTAAGAACTTTTAATTTTCATTTACATTTTCTTTAAGGATATAAACGGTTGATACTGTATGTAGTTGAATTGACCCATAACCATCGGTGATCATGGGGCAGGTAACTATAGCCTGCAGAAAAAGTTATGATCTAGGAATTTAAAAAATAAGATCCTGAAGTTTTTGTTTAATTGCATCAATTTCTGTATTTATGTGAATTTATAAACTACAGTACGTTTTGAATGAGATTAATCTTGTTTAATATAAGTAAATGTGTTTGTAGACTGTGATCTCTCCAAACTAAAAAGATTAGTACTTGGAATTGTGTTCTTTATGGTTATAGTGTTGGTAAAGCACTAATACACAGAAAATAAAGGAATTACACAGTGCCAAAAAAAAAAGAGTGCTGCCCTTAACAAATATTAGTTATTGTTACTGGGCCTATGATTATTAGTAACAGTGTTTGATTAGTGTTCTAATCAGATGTAAATTATATTACAATACTTAGTTACAAATAACAGACCCAAAGTTTGCCCAAAAAATTTTGTTTAAAATACACACACACCATGCTGAAGTGTTACTCAAAATTTTACTTTCACTGACTTGCATTCCCACATGCAGTGAAAGGAGGACATAGGACATGTGTTTAACCTATGGAATTTGCCATGTTAATACCATCCTTCATGTAAATGACAGCTCAACAGAGGTGGAGATTTATTGTACAGGATAGCAGTAATATAATTACTAGTGAATATCCACAAAAAACAAAAAATATATCCAAACTATTTCATACCAACAGACTAAGCCTTTTAAATGTTTAAACGTTATCCACAAACTCTGAAAAGGCTAGAACTTCTAAAACACTAATGGCAAAATTTAGAAACATATAATGGAAGGGAGGGTTCCAAGTTTGCTTGTAAGTATGTTATGCAGAGTTAGCTAATGTATTGTAAATTACACTGCCTACTCAACATTTCCACTTGGGAATCCACTGGCATCTCAAATTTACATTGTCAAAACAAAGCTCTTGAGTCCCTGCAAACCTGATCCCTAGTCTCATCCACCCAAATTGTTTGGGCCAAAATACTTGACAGTCATCCTTGGTTTCTCTTTTTCCCTGCAACAGTATGTATCCTAATCCAACAGCAAAACCTGGCTTTACTTCCAAATGTATCTTGAATCTGCCCACTTAGCTCCATTACCACTTTGACAATGTTCATGGCACCATCATTTTTCAAAACTAGCACCACTGTTAAAGGTTTTTTTTTTTTTTAGCTTTTTATTATAGAAAATTACAAATATAAACAGAAATAGAGGGGATAATATAATGAACTCCCATGTTCTCACACATTTCAGCTTTAATTCAAGTCCAATCTTTGTTTCTTCTATATCCTTACTCTCTTCACCTTGTCCCTGAAGTGAAACTAACCCCAGACATTCTATCAGCAAAAGGTCTCTTAACTGGTCTATCTGCAACCACTTCTGCACTGCGGCTATCCACTTACCAAAGAGCAACCAGAGGGATTTTATGTATCTAAAATACACGGATACATCACGTGCTTCCCTTTGTACTTACAAAGAAAAGCTGAAGTCTTTAGCTTAGACTTCAAGGCCTTGTAACATCCAATAATACATCATTTCTCTGATTTTGTACTATCTCCCCTTTTGTTCACTTGCTATAGTTGCATTGGTCTCTTTTGTTTCTTCTATATTTCAGGCCCCTTCTCAGGGCCTTTGTGCTTTTTCTTTTCTTCTATTTTTAAAAAATATTTTATTTATTTGAGAGAGAGCGCGCGCACGTGCGAGCACAAGTGGGGAAGGGGCAGAGGGAGAGGGAGAAGCAGACTCCCCGCTGAGCAGGGGACCTGATGTGGAGACTTGATCCCAGGACCTTGGGATCACGAACTGAGCTGAAGGCAGACGCTCAACCAACTGAGCCACCCAGGCGTCCCATGCTTTTTATTTTTTACTTGGGATACTTTTTCTCCTGGCCTGTCACTATTTAAGTCACAGCTCCAGTATCATCACCTCTTCCCCATCACAATCATACTCTATCTTGCTATTCTGTTTTGTTTCCTTCAGGATATATATCATATCCTAAAAATTATGTTTGTTTACTTGTATACTTGTATTTACTTGTATACTTTATTTACTTGTATACTTGACTATGGTTATCTCCTTATGATATCATATAAGCTCAACGAAGAGCAAGGATTTTATTTTGCTCAGTACATAATCCTTAACATTGGAAACAGTGCCAAGCACATATTAGGTGCTCAATGGCTAGTTAAGGAATGAATCAATTCATCCCAGGGTCCTTCCCACACGGTTCTATCGGTCCCATTATTGCAGCAGGAATTGTAATTTAGGACAAGAAGAAAGAAATTCTGTAATTTCACAGGTAAAAAATAATTGTTACAGAACTCAATATATGTGGCAGATTAATGGATTGTAAATACAAATGTTTGATGATAAATTAATTGGCAAATAAAATTAAATCACCTCTATAATGTTGTCAGCCCAACGTTGACTCAGTTTTATCCTTTAATTAAGTGGCATGAAGCTGATAAACTTTTGAGCTAACTTGCCAAATAGACTGGAACATGTCTTCTAAAAACAAACATAAGAATCCACGGATGCCACTTTAAAAATCTGCATTCTGGCTGGGAGCGGCTGCCTTTATTTTGTTTTGTTTTCATCTTTAAATAAAGCATTGTGCTCTTGTGGTCTGTTGCACAAGTCTTGTCTCTTGTTACGTTAGTGGTATGCACATGTCACCCTGCTGTGGGTCACTGTGTTTCACTCACATTACGGGAACCTAAAACAAAATGTCTTGAGTGACAGGATGAGTGGGGTACACCACAGACAGGAAATGAAATTCACACTTCTGCCAACACAGCAACTGTCTGCTTTACCAAATGAAAATATTTTAAAAATACAGACTAATATTCTACCTATTACCAAAGTTACAGCTGTGGGCACTTTGGTTTCCGGTAAACAAAGTGGTCTCAACATCTACAAAAGAAGTATATTTGTAGAGAGCTTAAAACAACCAAGCATGCCTCAGTCATTCCTTTTGTGAGACAGAGGTAGCTTCTCTTAGACAAACATTGGTTTAAGAATAAACTTCCTGGTTTGATACATTTATTGTTGCTCATGCTTTAAAGCAAATCTAAGTGTGTTCTTTAAAATGTATGTAGTGCTTTCACACGGGGAGGGTTAGGGT